ATTGAAAGACTCTTTATAATAAGGGACTTGGGAGTGTTGCTTGATTAATAATAACTGCACCGAACAGCGCTACTTCGCCTTGGTGGTTTATTGAAAATAATTTAATTAAATAAATATAATATAATACAATTTGATTTTTATCAAGCATTTTTGAGATAGTATATGAAAAATTATTGTTTCTTTCCTTTCATGTAAATAATAATACAAATTTCATAAATCAATTTTCCAACTGCTCAAAATTTCTACTTTCCATAACAAATATCTTTTATTTGTCTGCTTCGCTTTAAATAATTCTCTATTCTCAGTCTTACTGTTGATAAATTTACTTCTAAATCAATTAAATTTTTATCACTGTTTTGCAATTTTTTGGTATAAAATTCGTTGAATGTTCTAAGCATATAATTTATAGGCTCATATTTTGTGTAATCAGCTCTCCTAATTGGTAGATCAAATAGTCTGTGTTCGTATTTTGGCAGTCTAAAATCATTCCAGGACATTCTTCTCAGAGCATAAAAAAATAAATTTGATCATACGCGAACAGCGTTCGATTTAATTCGCGATTTCCGAGAGTTTTTTGATCAGAGGGTATAAATTCATATATTTTTAACATACAAAAACGATTAGGCATATGTCGAAATACACCCTCCAATCCAAAAGTTCCGAGACTTTTTAAAAATAATAGATACCAGTGGCGCCACCTACTGGATATTATATGCGTTGGAAAGGTACTTGCCCCACTGACATTATGTCCAAGTTTCATGAGGATCGGATCACTGACAGCCAAGTTGTTGCGTCAGATATTTTAGTATATTTAAGGCTCGGTTCAAGGCTGAAAATTGAACATCTCGTTCTCATCGGCAAATGCACTCTTTGGAAAGAGGATAGCCATACGAGATATCTCAAGCGAAAATGGAGAATTTTGCAATGTATATTATAGTTTTTTTGTTGACAAATGACTGAAAAATGAGCAAGAGCAATATCGTGAAAAAGTGACTTACTGTCTATTTCATGTTCTAGAGACTCTATACATCTGACTATCTGCAATAATCGTTATGGATTATTCAATATATAGGTCCTCAGTTAATATTAGGCTCATCAGAGCAAAAGATGGTCCAGGAAATGAGAATATCCTGAAAATTTGACTTTTTCCAAAGATTTCAATATGTGAAGCATGTACCGATATAGGACCCCGTGTCTTAGTTTTTCTAGCTTATAGACAGCATGAGCAATCATGATAAAATGGTTTTTGAAATATCTAATTCGTTAAATTTTTCAAAATTTATCACAAAAGTTGATTATTTTTTGTTTGAAATTCATTTCGTCACCGTGAGCAAAAGATACTTACTTCATTTTGGCATCATTGGTTTTGACCCTCCGACCGACCCCTCCTCTTTTTGTGGGGCTATCCATTTTTCTTACTCCCCAAATAACATATGTCCCACTGGTTTTGAGACAAATTCAAACGAATGCCATTTGAACACCAAACAACCAAATTGAAATATTCTCTTCATGATAGTTTGCTTTATTCATAATCTATCGAAAAACACATTTACAGTACACTGAATGGACCATTGTCTTCGATTTTTCTCAGTATGCGTCGAACCTTCAAAATCATGCTTTGGCAGACCGATATGTCAATTTCTTTCAACTTTCTCTCAATCCATCCAACCAATTGTTGCACGTTTCAAGTATTTTGGACCTTCGCCTATAATATACATCCAAAAACAGACGAGAAATAATTAATTTGGTGTCTTTTTGTGAAGTTAAAAAGATGGTCCTTTTTTCATGGAAATGCTATTTTTTAAGAAGTGAGCCATTATTGTGATTTTTTCTGCTTGCAAGGCACAATTTTGTCTTTAATCAGATAGTTCCCAACGACTTCTATCGATTTTAATAATATTTGGTTGATAATGGAGCATGGAATGGAGGTGTTACCTTACGTTACAGCACTTAATGTTCGAATAATGGCTCTAAGACACCTTTCAAAGAAGATCCTACCATACAAACACCCGTTTATCAAAGTTCGGTTTGTTGACGTCTCTAACTTTATATAGTAGTGCCCCAACATAATCAATGCAAAAGAAACCACTTGCATTTGATTCATGGTTCGATTTGGCGATGAATGTTTCACTATCCAAAATGATGAATCTTTCAGTGCAACATGCTATAGAGTGAAGTAAACATCCAATTTTTGACACCCTTTGTAATTTTTTCGTAACTTATTTTGCTGATTCCTAATGATCGTGTCTAAGTCTATTGTTTTGGTTCAAATTTGGATGTGCTGTAACCATAAAAATCACCAAAAATGAATTTTTGCTTGACCAACCCGGTTTTCGGTACTTGATGACAATTTTGAAGGGTTTGAGCATTTAAATTGGGAATACGACCGTACTTTTTGCATTCTCTAGAATCTTTATATTCATACTAAGTCCATGAAACACGATACATGGTTCGAAGACAGATTGGTTCATTTTTAGACACATGCAGAATTTGTTTTGAACTTAGCTCGCCAAAACCATTTGAGACAGACTTGCGCAAATCCAATTTGTACGCCATCGCGAATGAATATATTTGAATAGTTTGTGTTTGACAGTAAAGCAGAGGTACCGTTTTATGTGCTATGTGCTGGGTTGACATATTTGCGTTTGTATATGGAACGCAATAAACGCCTGAATTTAGTCTCAAAACCAGTGGGACATATGTTATTTATAGACTCCCATTTGAGGGCCAAGAGCATGAAAAACACCCCCTCAATACCCGCCGAAACTTAAGGTATTTTTTGATGCCCGATCGATTGGCATCATTAGTTTTGACCCCCAACACCTCCTTACCCCCTCAACAACAGTGTTTTGATCAACTTCATTTGGCCTTTGGCGATGAAGTACCAAGTCTTCGGACAATTTATAATTGGTACAACGAATTCAAGCGCAGTCGCCTATCGCTCATCGACGAGTTCCGCGAAGGTCGTCCAAAATCAGTTGTTGTACCAGAAAACATCGATGCTGTCAGAAATATGATAATGGAAGATCGTCATGTAACATATCACGAGATTGAGGCATCCCTGGGCATTAGTGCGACCAGCGTATTTAAGATTTTACATGAACATTTAGCTGTCAGAAAGATTTGCTCTCGTTGGATACCACATAATTTGACAATCGCTCAAAAAAAGGCTCGTGTCGATTGGTGTAAACAAATGCTCAAGAAATTCAATCGTGGTGTTTCAAAATCCGTGTATTTTATCGTCACTGGTGACGAATCATGGATCTACGCGTATGAGCCCGAAACTAAACAGCAGTCGACTGTATGGGTCTTTCAAAGTGAAGATAACCCAACAAAAGTTGTTCGAGCTCGAAGTGTTGCGAAGCAAATGGTCGCCTGTTTTTTCGCGATAAGTGGTCATGTGGCAACAGTTCCACTAGAGGTTCGTAAGACCGTCAATTCTGATTGGTACACCACCATTTGTTTGCCCGAAGTGTTTGGTGAAATAAGAAAAAACAACCGCCGTCGCAAAATAATTCTTCATCATGATAATGCGAGCTCTCACACATCTCATCAATCAGTCGATTATTTGACCGGTCAAAAGATCGATTTAATGGGTCATCCGCCGTACAGTCCTGATTTGGCACCCAACGATTTCTTTTTATTCCCGAGCGTGGTCAACGATTTTCATCGCCCGAAGAAGCAGTTGATGCGTTCAAAACACACGTTTTGGAGATATCACTTTCGGAGTGGCATGAATGCTATGACAAATGGTTCGAGCGAATGCAAAAGTGTATTGATCATCATGGCGAATATTTTGAAAAACAATAAAACCATTTTCGATGAAACCCCATTGTCTTATATATGTTTTTGAAAAAACTTAAATAGTGACCCTCGTATAAGGCTAGAGACGTCGACAAACCGAGCTTTGATAAAGGCGTGTTTGTATGGTGGGATCTTCTTTGGAAGGTGTTTTAGAGCCAATATTCGAGAATTTGGTGCTGAAACGTAAGGTAAAACCTCCATTACATGCTCCATTATCAACCAATTGTTGTTGAAATCGATAGAATTCATTGAAAACTATCTGATTTAACACAAAATTTTGGTTTGCAAGCAGAAAAAACCACAATAATGGCTCACTTCTTAAAATATGACATTTCCGTGAAAAAAGGACCATCTGTTTAACTTCACAAAAAGACACCAAATTAATTATTTCTCGTCTGTTTTTGGATGTATGTTATAGACGAAGGTCCAAAATACTTGAAACGAGCAACAACTGGTTGGAAGATTTGAGAGAAAGTTGAAAGAAATCGACATATTGGTCCGCCAAAGCATGATTTTGAAGGTTCGACGCATACTGAGAAAAATCGAAGACAATGGCCCGTTCAGTGTAAGGTGAATGTGCTATTCGTAGCCCATTAATGAAGGTTTATACCAATAAAAAAGAATTTAATATTGTATGTTTGTTGTTCAAATGGCGAACATCTGAATTTACTCACAGAGAGAAAATTTACACGAATACACTTACAGGTTCTGTATAATTTTTGACATTTTACGTATTGTGTATAATCAACAGATATATTGTACACTGTCTGTATAATTCGCTATTTATTCATCTGTCAACTCATCTGGCAACATTTTAGATGCGCTGACTTATAAATCAATAGCGAATTATACTACGTAAAATGTCAAAAATTATACAGATCCTGTAAGTGTATTCGTGTAAATTTTCTCTGTGTGCTGTCAAGACTTTATGGACATATGTTATATGAAACTGCCAAACGACGAAATTATTTTATTTTTTTTATTTTAAGCTAGGAGGAAAAATGTATATTCATAAAAAAATTAGGGTACCAAGAGAATTTCACAAATGAAAAAGCACTGCATATTCTGGTAAATAATAGTAGTATTTTTCTAGTGAATAATGATTGTTGGCATTTTATGCAAGGAATCAATATAAGTAAAGATTTTTTGTGTGAATATTCGAGTATTTAAGCTGAACTTTATTCTAATCATTGCAGGTAATCACCTTAAATCTTTGTGGCGACCAAAAATGCTTCAAAGCAATCGAATTCGAAGATCACCAAATACAAACGAAATTGATTTTCCATCTGCAGAAACTGCTCTCATGACTATGAGCTTTTTAACGTTGGCCGTTTTCCTAATTAAACTTGTTCTTGTATGTATATTCTTGGAACCTTAGTTAATCAAAATGAAATATAAATAACAGCGGATGGCAGATTGCGCATAAAGAAAACCTTAATCCTTAGTGTAGTGAAAAGTTGACTCGCAATTTAAAAACGAAATTTCAATAATAGCGTTCGTTGGTGGTTTATTGAAAATATAATTAAAAAAATATAATACAATTTGATTGTTAACAAGAATTTTTGAGAGAGTTAATGAAAAGTAATTGATTCTTTCCTTTCATGTAAATAATATAAATTTTACAACTGCTCAAAAAAAGCGATAAGATTACTGCCTAAAATGATAAAAAATTAAATTCACGTATAGTTAGCGCTACATTCTATGTAATAAGCGTATACTTTCCACTTAGTCCTTTGCAACGGAAAACAAGTTTGCATAGAATGCAGCGCCAACTATATGTGAATTTTATTTTTTATCGATTTAGGCAATAAATCTATGGTTTTCTTATGGCTTCTTTCTATGATCCATTTTTAAATATTTTGTATTTATCTGTTTTGCTTTGAATAATTTCCTATTCTCAGTTTGACTGTTGATAAATTTACTTCTAAATCAATTAAATTTTTATCACTGTTTGGCATTTTTTGGTATAAAAATCGTTGAATAATGTAAGCATATAATTTATTGGTTCATATTTTGAGTAATCTGTTCTCCTCATTGGTAAATCAAATAGTGTTGTTGCTCTGGTATCATGTGCTGAATCATAATCACAGCGAACGGCACTTCGCACGAGTGACGAAACCACTTAAGTGTGTTGAGAGTCGAACTCGCTATATATACACGTAATTTCCATATCTCAACTTGAAAGGCCGTTCGCCGCGATTGATGTATGATTGGAAAGCCCTTGGGCCATAGATTAAGAAAAAACATCAAACTTTGAAAATCGGTCCATCCGTCTTCAAAATATGACCGTTTCAAAAAAAGGGTAAAAAATCAGTTCCACGGCCATAGATGGCGCTAAATGTAGTCGCCGACCCCTGAAACATAGATTTTCTGATTCTAGAGACCGATACCTTTCTAACGATATCGAACGTCGAAATCGGTCAACCCTTTCGAAAAATTTCACAATTTAAAATTTTCATATGAAATCCTTATGAAATATCAAAATGTCTGCGATTTTACGTAGTTGTTCCTGATCTTTTTGAAAATTTCTGTGCTTAAAGAACATAAAAAACTAACAAGGATACATCACTATGGGTTGCGCCTGTTGAGCAAAATGGCATATGCCATGGTGTAGGTCTAGGCCAGACTAACTACACACATATCCCGTTCGTGCTCATGGGAGTAATTTTTTTTCGCCCTTGGTAGTTTTCATACTAGGAGGCATTTCGACGAATTTTAAAAACAATTTGCCGAATCAGGCGTTTATTTTGCGATACAATCACGTTAAAATACACTATCCATACAAAAATTCACTTTTTTTGACAAAAATCCATCACTGTGTACTAATAATAATAATAATAATAATAATAACTGCACCGAACAGCGTTCC